AAATATTTGACACAGCATAGGTTTCTGACACAGAATGAATGTGGTCTAAGAACTTAAAAATTTTAAATTGGACATTCACCTATTATGGTCCAATATCCAAAATCTAAATACATGGTTAGATTCAGCATATCAAAGAACCCCAAGAATTCAATTTATGATGAAATCAAACAAAGTTTAATTTTGGACCCTTTTGACCTCAATGTGGACAAAGTTGATAACGGGGCCCAAAAATCAAAAATCTAAATACATGGTTAGATTCAGCATATCAAAGAACCCCATATATTCAATTTTTGTTGAAATCAAACAAAGTTTAATTTTGGACCCCGATTTGGACCAACTTAAAAACTGGGCTCATAATCAAAAATCTAAATACATGTTTAGATTCAGCATATCAAAGAACCCTAAGAATTCAATTTTTGTTAAAATCAAACTAAGTTTAATTTTGGACCCTTTGGACCTTAATGTAGACCAATTTGAAAACAGAACCAAAAATTAAGAATCTAAATACACGGTTAGATTCGGCATATCAAAGAACCCCAATAATTCAATTTTTGATGAAATCAAACAAAGTTTAATTTTATACCCTTTGGACCTCAATGTGGACCAATTTAAAAACTGGGCCCAAAATCCAAAAACTGAATACAAGGTTTGATTCAGCATATTAAAGAACCCCAAGAATTCAAGAATAAAACCCCATTGAAATTGGTCAAGAAATAAGCAATTTATACTTAGTATCTTCTCTTGCACAATACTGTGCAATTAAATATTTCTTGCTATTGCGCAATACTGTACAATTGTCAATTTCGTGCTATTGCGCAATATTGTGCTATTGGATATTTCTTGCTATTGAGCAATACTGTGCAATTGAAGATTTCTTGCTATTGCGCAATACTGTGCAATTGAAGATTTCTTGCTATTGTGCAATACTGTGCAATTGAAAATTTCTTGCTATTGCACAATACTTATTATATAATAATTTACACATCCTGTTTGGTGTGTATCTCCTACCATATCATTATTATTTGCTTTTAAATATAAATCAGAAATAACCAACTTAAAATGGAAAATTTTAAAAGAAAAAAAAAAGGAAAAAAAAAAATATTTCCCCCCCCCCCCCCAAATTTTTTGAACCCCCTTATGATTCATCACCCCCAAACTCAATCCCAGCCTTCCCTTTGTGGTATGGTACCTTGCAGTACAATTTCAGAGAGATCCATACACTTGAACAAAAGTTATTGTCTGGAAACTAGAAAAATGTGTTTTTTGGCCCCTCTTTTGCCCCAAATTCCTAAACGTTTAGGGCAATTACCCCCAAACTCAGACCCAGCTTTCCCTTTATGATATGGAACCTTGTAGTACAATTTCAGAAAGATCCATACACTTACACACAAGTTATTGTCCTGAAACTAGAAAAATGCTTGTTTTTTGCCCCTTTTTGGCCCCTAATTCCTAAAATTTTGAAGCAATTACCCTCATCATCAATCCCAGCATTCCCTTTGTGGTATGGTACCTTGCAGTACAATTTCAGAGAGATCCATACACTTGAACACAAGTTATTGTCTGGAAACTAGAAACATGCTTATTTTTGGCCCTGTTTTGGCCCCCAATTCCTAAACATTTCGGCAATTACCCCCAAACTCAATTCCAGCTTTCCCTTTGTGATATGGAACCTTGTAGTAAAATTTCAGAAAGATCCATACACTTACACACAAGTTATTGTCATGAAACTAGAAAAATGCTTGTTTTTTGCCCCTTTTTTTGCCCCTAATTCCTAAACTTTTGAGGCAATTACCCCCAAAATCAATCCCAGCATTCCTTTTGTGATATGGAACCTTGTGGTACAATGTCAGAGAGATCCATACACTAACACACAAGTTATGTCTGGAAGTTACAAAAATGCTTATTTTTGGCCCCCAATTCCTTTACTGTTGGTACCATAACCCCCAAAATCAATCCCAACCTTCCTTTTGTGGTATTGAACCTTGTGGTAAAATTTCATAGAGATCCATTCACTTAAACTAAAGTTAGAGTGCGAAAACCAATGTGTCTTCGGACGACGCCGGACGACGCCAGACGACGACGACGACGACGATGACGACGCCAACGTCATACCAATATACGACCACAAAAATTTTTTTGCGGTCGTATAAAAAGATTTGTATTTATTTTCAATTGAAGATTTCTTGCTATTGCAGAATACTGTACTACTGCGCAATACTGTGCAATTGAAGATTTCTTGCTATTGCACAATACTGTGTTGTTGCGCAATACTGTGCTAATGGGCAACAGAAGATTTCTTGCTATTGTGCAATACTGTGCAATTGAAGATTTCTTGTTATTGCCCAATACTGTGCTATTGTGCATTATACATGTACTGTGCTATTGCACAAAACTGTGCTATTATACAATACTGTGCTGTTGCGCAATACTGTGCTATTGCGAAGATTTCTTCTTGAAGCTTTCCAAAAATTTTAAATTTCAAAACTTTTTGGAAGAAAGAAATATGAACCTCCTCTCCAAAAAAAATCGGAAAAAATGCCCCCAAATTTTTTGAACCCCCTCCCTTTGAGTAATTACCCCCTAAATTCACTCCCATCAAACCCTTTGTGGTATAGAACTTGTAGCACAATTTTTTTTTAGAGAGATCCATACACTTAAACAAAACCTGAAAAATGCTTGTTTTTTGCCCTTTTTTCGCCCCATATTCCTGAACTTTTGGGGCAATTATTCCAGAACTCAATCCAAGCCTTTCCTTCGTGATATGTAACCTTGTGGTATAATTGTAGAGTGATCCATACACTTAAACACAAGTCCGGAAACAACAAAAATGCTTGTTTTTGGTCCTTAATTCCTAAACTGTTAATATCATAAACCCAAAAATCTATCCCAACCTTCCATTTGTGGTATTGAACTTTCTGGTAAAGTTTCATAGAGATCCATTCACTTAAACTAAAGTTATTTTTCACAAATCAAATGTGTTATACGTACAAATTTTTTTGGGGCACTTTTATGAAAATAAGATGTGGCATGATTGTCAATAAGACAACTCTCCACCAAAGACCAAATGACCTAGATGGTAATCATACAGCCTTCAACAGTATCGCAAAGCAAGCTATAAAAGGTCCCCAAATAAAAAATGAGAATGAACTGTTGACATAGAGATGTGTCTCGCCTGTCATCACAAAATTCAGAAAAAGACAATCTGATGGACAGCAACATTACTTATTAATTCAAAGTCTATGGACCTAGTGGACTGGGCATCAAAATGGTCGACAAACTGAGATGTACATACAGTAATGAAACTTTTTAGAAAATATTGTTGTCTATTGTAAGTAGTTACTATCAATTTAACTGAAGTAGATACTCCACATAGAAAATTAATAATCAATTCAAAGTCAATGGACCATGGTGATGCCCTTGGGGGCAGGACCTTAAAATATTTGTCAAACTGATATGTACTGATACATGTTTGTAGTTAGGAAACGACCATTTAACTTAAAGGGGAGGGGGGGGGGTTATGTTTTTTCCTAAAAAAATATTCTGATCCCCAACTTGATGAAAAAAAATATTCTGAATACAGATTTTCCCCATACCTTATAGCGTTAAATTTTGAAAACAATAATTTGATTGATAGCGTTGAAAAACTAAATATAAAGATGATGATGATTGGCTACTTAACGTCTAGCAGCAAATTAATATGCATTTTCATATTAATGTAATGTGAATATTAACACTGCTTTGTACTTGACCAAAAAGATGAGCTCGATTTTTAACATGCTAGTTCACAAGGTAACAGTCCACAAGATTTGTAGGTAGTTGAAGAATAATAAAGCCTTACGTGTGGGTTTATATGAACATCAAGATTGGGTTTTTTTTGCATGATTTTAGGCCATTTTTCTGTTTGACAGTCTGTATTTCTCCAATAGATCAAGACATTATTGTAGTGTTTGACTCTCAAACTTTTCAGTTCAGTTTTATCATGTTTATCATGTGTTTATGGAAAAATTAAGTGAAATGCTTTTTTTGAACCTCTTGATAGATAAATGTCTATAGTTTGAGACAAGGTACCACTCTAATGGATTGAAATTCTTCTTTGGACCAAATTTTGGGAACATTTTCACCATTCTTTTTGCAATATTTTATAACAAATCAATGCAGAATATTTCTATGGTAACACCAAAAAGAGATTATATTTCACCATTTTAACTATTGAAATTTAGAATTTTTCAGTATACGGATATGGATAGTAAACTGCACATTGCTAGAAAAAAAAGAAATATCGATGTCAACGTCAAATACGTTAATAAAGTAATACAAATAGACAGGAAATACTAAAATAAATTTAAAAAACATTGATTAACAAAATTTTAATCTGCTAACCGAGTCCATGTGATATATACATGATATGCATGTTTCCTAAAACTTGAAAATCGAAAGTCCATCGGGTGCAGCTAATAGCCAAATCGGAAGTCCGAGCGAAAATCTGACAGTTCCTGGACCTAGGAGAAAGGATCACCGCTAATTTGAACACCTGTCTTGACATGGGCATAAAATATCTCCGGAATCTAAGGATGTAATTTTTATGAAAAGTAAGTGAGTTTTTATATGAAATTTATATCGTTTTCCTGACCTGATCCTCCAAAGTGAAAGTAGGTTATTCATCGAAGGTACCTTCTTCTTTTTTCACTTGGGGTTAGTGTGGATAGTAAAAAAGGTATTGTAATCGACTAGTAATGGTTTGTTGAGACTTGTTATATGTCTATACATTGTAGAAAATTGTAAATATAGAAAAAAACAAGACTTTTTTTTTACAATGGGGCCCAAAAAAGGGGGGTCCAAAATACCTGTGTTTTTAATAATATAAATAAAATGCTCCGCTGGCAAAGCTTGATACAACCGCAGAGGTCGAACCCTGAACAGTTGGGGCAAGTATGGACACAACATTCAAGCTTGATACAGCTCTGAATTTGGATTGTGATTAAATATTTGACACAGCATAGGTTTCTGACACAGAATGAATGTGGTCGAAGAACTTAAAAAATTTTAATTTACCTATTATGGTCCAATATCCAAAATCTAAATACATACACGGTTAGATTCAGCATATCAAAGAACCCCAAGAATTCAATTTTTGTTAAAATCAAACTAAGTTTAATTTTGGACCCTTTGGACTTTAATGTAGACCAATTTGAAAACAGGACCAAAAATTAAGAATCTAAATACACGGTTAGATTCAGCATATCAAAGAACCCCAATATTTCAATTTTTGATGAAATCAAACCATATCATTATTATTTGCTTTTATATACATGATATATAAATAAAAAATAACCAACTTAAAATGGAAAATAATTATTTGATTGATAGCGTCGAAAAAACAAATAAAAATATTCGCGCTTCGTGCGAAAAAAACCCAAAAAAACATAACTTATCTTTCTGGATTTTTACACCTTAATATATAGCCTTTAGGGTAACCATACTTTCGTACGTCGAACAGCTCCACCACCAAAAATATACAACACAAAGAAAATTATAATTCACAACAAAAGATATATATATATATATATATATATAATAAGTAGCACATATGTAGTTAGTGATGATGAAACGGAGCCAAATATGGAGCTGCGTTTTGAAACACTTGGGTAGACTTTACATTGGGATGACGTTTCAAGTTGTTAGTTCAGCGACAACTATTTAATTCTTATAAATAGTTTTTGCTCAACTAACAACTTGAAACATAAATATATAAATATATAAATAATAAATATAAGGGGAAGTGGTATGATCGATTGCTAATACACCTTATCGCTATTTGTCCGCCATTACTGGACATCACACAGGTTCCCGTAAAATTTTGACGTCATAATACAAAATATCTGACGCCACAATGGAAAAGTGATTGTTGTATGACATCAATAGTTCAAGCGGGACAGATTCTCGGGTCAGCCGGGAATAGCGATAAGGTGTATGAGACAACCATCCACCAAAGTTGAAAAGACGTGGTAGAAGAAATTAAAGGTACCGTACGACCTTCAACAATGAGAAATACCCTACCGTTAACGGTATAGTGGGAAAAATGGGAAACAATTCAATTGAGAAAACTAACAACCTTAATTCATAACGTCTATTTTAAACTTATTACTATTGTCTTGGTACCTCTTTTGACGCGGACCAGAAATGATGCACCGATTTAGTTAACGGTTTTATATTTCTAAACAAAAGCCGTGACGTCATCAACATTTGCTGTTCATAACATGATGTTGAAGGTCATCTGACTACAACAAAGATGCCTAAAACTCTGCCCAGAAATGTTATTATTGCTTAAAATATTAAAGACGATGCAATTTCCGCCATTTTATTAAGGTCAAAAAAATTCTACCCTTCCCCGAAAGATTATCAGTCCTATCTCCACTTTGGTCAAGAAAAGTATGTAACCGTAGGCTTCCCCATTTTGTGTTTTTCAAATCACGTGACTGTCATGTGATATGGCTTTACATTTAAGCGGGAATCACTGTAGAAAAAATGATTGTCGCTTATATAATTTTCTATGGTTTATCGATTTTTTTTCATTCAATGTATGAAGTATACATATGTACATTGATAAATGTATTATTGTCAATGTTGTTTAATGAATGCAATTACTTTTTATTTTCAAATATATGGAATATGTATATCACTTTCATAAATTTTGGACAATTATATATCAAAATATAGGTTCTTCTGCTTCTGCCAGATAATGGCCACAATCAACAAACTGATTATACTGCCATGGTTTGGTGCGCATATAAGACCACCCCCCTCCCCCTAAAATTTTAAAATTTAATTCAGCTTTGTCATCGAGGCTTTAAAGGCCTCGACTGACGGTGCTGATACGACCCCAGGAAGAAGAGCGTTCCAATCCCGGATGGTTCTTGGGAAGAATGAGTGTTTGCGGTAATCACAGGATGCTGATGGTACTTGGAAGGATTTATCATGCATGTTTCGTGTCAGTCTTTTTGGTGGTATTAGACGACCTTCCTTTGACATGGCCACTTTGTTGTTTTCTATTTTGTAGAGCGTTGTGAGTCTCGCTTCTTTCCTTCTTTGTTCCAGGGATGTCCATTTGAGATGTTGTAGCATCATGTTAACGCTGGAGTGGTTATGATGTTTGTTAGATACGTAGCGAGCTCCTCTTCTTTGTACCATCTCAAGTCTGTCAGTCTCTATCTTAAGGTATGGATCCCATACTGGACTGGCATATTCTACAATTGGACGTACCAATGTTTTGTAGGCATTCTCCTTCACTGTAGTTGATCCTATATTTAAATTTCTTATAAGGAAACCAATTGTTCGATTTGCCTTATTACATATGTTATTTACGTGATCATTCCATCTGAGTTCGGATGTAAATGTGCAGCCTAGGTATTTTGCACTGCTGACTGACTCAAGAATATGACCATGTAGGCTGTATGAAGTTGCAATTGTGTTGTTTTTCCTGCTGATGGTGAGTACATTGCATTTGTCAGGGTGGAATGACATTTTCCATTTTGATTCCCATATTCCAAGTTTGTCCAGATCTAGTTGTAAGTCATGCGAATCTTTGTCTGATGATATCGTAAGGTAAGCTATTGTATCATCTGCAAATAGTCGGACTGTAGATTTAATTCCATCGGGCATGTCGTTAATGTAGAACAGGAATAGTGAGGGCCCAAGTACTGAGCCTTGGGGTACTCCTGACTCTACATCAATATGAGATGAGCTTTCTCCATCCACGACTACTGCTTGGGTTCGATTAGACAGAAAGCTAGCGATCCACTTGTTGACATTTCCTTGTATACCATAGTGTTCTAGTTTATGTATCAGGAGACTGTGACTGACCTTATCAAAGGCTTCCGAAAAGTCCATAATGAGTACATCTGTTTGCTTTCCTGCGCTCATGTTGTTAGTGATGTCATCCACAAATTCAATCAACTGGGTTTCGCATGATCTTTTGCTACGAAATCCGTGCTGTAATGGATATAGAATGTTGTGGAGATCTGCATGTTTCATAATATGACTAGTTATTATGTGTTCCATGAGTTTACAGCAGATGCATGTCAGAGATATTGGTCGATAATTCTCTGCCTTGTATCTCTCTCCTTTCTTGAAGACTGGGCTTACGTTGGCGTTCTTCCAGTCAGATGGTACTTTCCCAGTTTTTAGTGATGTTGTAAAGATGATAGTTAGAATTGGGGCTATCTCGATTGCAAGTTCTTTGAGTATTCTTGGTTTTAGATTGTCTGGTCCTGATGCTTTATTTGGATTTATTTTTGATAGAAGTTTCAGTACTCCATTTTCTGTGATGATTAGATCTTCAGCAGAAGGGTATTGACCTGGCATATTACAACGAGATTTGAATTCATCTGGACTATATATTTCCTTTGAAGAGAATGCAGATTGAAACTGTTTATTCAGGATGGTTGCTTGGTCTACAGGATGGGAGTGTAGTACTCCATCACTACGTAGTGGTGCCACGCCGCTGCTATCAGTCTTCATATGTTTAATATATGTCCAGAATCGTTTCATATTGCTGTGTTGTTGGGTTTCTTCTTTAGGTGTTACTATATTTTCGATGTATTTCCAATATGCACGACGTAGTTCTTTCTGTATTTTTTGCTTTACTTCTTTAAATTTTGATGTAATATGAGGATCCGCTGACTTTTTCTTTCTTTTGTATAGTCTGTCACGGCGGCGTATCAATTTACGTACATTTGGTGTGAGCCAAGGGAGGCTATCTTTCTGTTTTGCTATCTTGTGCGGGATATGGTTAGTTACACTTTGGTTGAGCTTGGTTTTGAACAATAACCAGAGTTCCTCTGCTGAGCTTCCATTTGAAGCTAGGTTTCTGATCTTTTCATGTGTTTGGATCATTTCCTCTTTGATGGTTTCCCAGTTTGCCTTTCTGTATAAGGGGATGTTCCGAGGTTTTTGTTTCCTAGATAAGGGCTTGGTGTCTATTTCGCTGAAGACGATGTCGTGGTCTGAAACCCCGCGTATCACTTTGGTGCGTGTGAAGCGTGTTGGATTGTTTGTAATCACTAGGTCCAGCGTGTTAGGGCCTCTTGTTGGTTCCTCCACTAGTTGAACAAGTCCATTGTCGTCAAGAATGTCGCCAAATTTGTAGTGGTTTTTCTGACATGTTGATTCTGGTTTCAGGGTTCTTGTTATCCAGTTCCAGCCTGGGAGATTGAAGTCGCCACCAACTACTATGAAGGCATTTTTTGTAGCATTTACTCTTTCAAGACTTCGCCCAAGTTCTTTAATGCTTTCTTCATTTGATGTTTTGGGGTTATAGTAGGATGCAAGATACAAGTCTTTACTACCAGCTAAGCTGATTTTAGCCCAAACAATCTCGCAATTTGTTTGTAACTCGGGTACAGGTGTGCTTAGATGGTAATGATTTATTGCTATTAGCACCCCGCCTCCTTTCATGTTGCGGTCATTTCTGTAGATGTTGTAATTTGGTGGAAAAATCTGGTTATCTTTTACAGAAGAATCTATCCAGGTTTCTGTTCCTAGGACAATATCTGGTTTAGTGCTTTCAACCAAGTTCTTAACTAATCCTTGCTTTGATTTGATGGACTGAAAATTTACTGTAAGCATCTTGATTGGTACGCTTTTTGGTCTTTTATCCTGCTTCTTTCTGTCTGGTGTTGATGCGTGGATAGGTTTGATACAGTCAGATGGGAGTGGACTCTGGAGAGATGTATCAGATAGAATACTAAATGAATTTGAGGTCGATAATACTATGTCAAAGCACACTGAACTGTAATTAGGACAGTCACAGATAAGGCAGTCCCAAGCTATTGCACTGTCCTCTACTAAGATGTTGTATGTTCGAGAGCTGACTGACTGGCAGGTGGTATGGTACCACTGGTTACAGGTATCACACATGATACCTTTGTCTTCCCATGTAACAGGTTCGTCACAGGTTCCGCATAGAAATACTGTTGTGTCTGGGCCTGGATTTAGGTTTATGTCATTTGCTATGGTTATAAGTAGCATAGATAGATATGCAAGATGATATGATTGTTTACCATTTATTCCTTGTGAAGATCCATTTTTATTTTTAAGATTTATATGTAATCTAAAGTTTGCCAGGATAATCTGATGGTCTGATATATTATTTCTGTTTATAATGGTAAATTGAGGATATGCATGATGGTCTACAGTATTGGTGATTTTAAGGAGTTGGCCAGATGACATCAGAGACAAGAATATGATGAGGCATAACATGATGAGCTGTAGCTGTAGAAGAGTGTGGTGATAAGATGAACTCACCTACGC